GTAGCAGTTCAAGTTCTAGTCGAAACTAGGAAACTTGGAAATGTCCGAATTGCTAACTGGTTGTGCTAACACGTGCCGCGGTTAGCAAGTCGGACATTTCCGAGTTTCCTAGTTCCGACTAGAATGTGAACGTGGCAACTATGGGATTGGTTGAGGAATTTCATCACTAGTTACCACAGTCATAATTACGGCTAAACGCCGCCTATTTCTACAATTTATCTTCTTAAAATCTGATTTTAAACCTAACATTAAGCCTAACCTTAACCACACTGCTAACATTGTGGTTAAACACAAATATACTAATTGATCAAAATAAAAAATATTCCACAACATAAAAAAAAAAAAGGTATAATCTTCGTAAATGATATCATCAGTAGGACTGGTGGAGTTACAGTGGGGAAAAAAAGTATTTAGTCAGCCACCAATTGTGCAAGTTCTCCCAATTAAAAAGATGAGAGAGGCCTGTAATTTTCATCATAGGTACACGTCAACTATGACAGACAAATTGAGGAAAAAAAATCCAGAAAATCACATTGTAGGATTTTTTATGAATTTATTTGCAAATTATGGTGGAAAATAAGTATTTGGTCACCTACAAACAAGCAACATTTCTGGCTCTCACAGACCTGTAACTTTCTTCTTTAAGAGGCTCCTCTGTCCTCCACTCGTTACCTGTATTAATGACACCTGTTTGAACTTGTTATCAGTATAAAAGACACCTGTCCACAACCTCAAACAGTCACACTCCAAACTCCACTATGGCCAAGACCAAAGAGCTGTCAAAGGACACCAGAAACAAAATTGTAGACCTGCACCAGGCTGGGAAGACTGAATCTGCAATAGGTAAGCAGCTTGGTTTGAAGAAATCAACTATGGGAGCAATTATTAGGAAATGGAAGACATACAAGACCACTGATAATCTCCCTTGATCTGGGGCTCCACGCAAGATCTCACCCCGTGAGGTCAAAATGATCACAAGAACGGTGAGCAAAAATCCCAGAACCACACGGGGGGACCTAGTGAATGACCTGCAGAGAGCTGGGACCAAAGTAACAAAGCCTACCATCAGTAACACACTACGCCGCCAGGGACTCAAATCCTGCAGTGCAAGACGTTTCCCCCTGCTTAAGCCAGTACATTTCCAGGCCCGTCTGAAGTTTGCTAGAGTGCATTTGGATGATCCAGAAGAGGATTGGGAGAATGTCATATGGTCAGATGAAACCAAAATATAACTTTTTGGTAAAAACTCAACTCGTCGTGTTTGGAGGACAAAGAATGCTGAGTTGCATCCAAAGAACACCATACCTACTGTGAAGCATGGGGGTGGAAACATCATGCTTTGGGGCTGTTTTCTGCAAAGGGACCAGGACGACTGATCCGTGTAAAGGAAAGAATGAATGGGGCCATGTATCGTGAGATTTTGAGTGAAAACCTCCTTCCATCAGCAAGGGCATTGAAGATGAAACGTGGCTGGGTCTTTCAGCATGACAATGATCCCAAACACACCGCCCGGGCAACGAAGGAGTGGCTTCCTAAGAAGTATTTCAAGGTCCTGGAGTGGCCTAGCCAGTCTCCAGATCTCAACCCCATAGAAAATATTTGGAGGGAGTTGAAAGTCCGTGTTGCCCAGCGACAGCCCCAAAACATCACTGCTCTAGAGGAGATCTGCATGGAGGAATGGGCCAAAATACCAGCAACAGTGTGTGAAAACCTTGTGAAGACTTACAGAAAACGTTTGACCTGTGTCATTGCCAACAAATTGTATATAACAAAGTATTGAGAAACTTTTGTTATTGACCAAATACTTATTTTCCACCATAATTTGCAAATAAATTCATTTAAAATCGTACAATGTGATTTTCTGGATTTTTTTTCCTAATTTTGTCTGTCATCGTTGACGTGTACCTATGATGAAAATTACAGGCCTCTCTCATCTTTTTAAGTGGGAGAACTTGCACAATTGTTGGCTGACTAAATACTTTTTTTCCCCCACTGTATGTCGCACATGCAGCTAACAAAAACATATGGAAATGTCTGCTCTACCAAAAATTACAACCAAATAATTGCAGCATTACCACAAAAATGGAAGAGGAAAGTGGAAGGGGGAAAAAGTAAGGAACTTGTTTGTTGGCCTTGCATTAAAGACCATAATTGGTTCAAATAAAACTGTGATAAATAAAAAAGTATACTAGTTTCATTTAAGGACCAAAGGATTGACAGCCGTCCCATATAGATTGCAAAATAGTTGGGAAGAGATTTTTGACGTACCGATCCCATGGTATAGTGTTTATGAAGTGATACGCAAAACGACGCCGGATTCAAAACTTAGAATTGTTCAATTTAAATTATTATGTACAATTCTTGCTACCAATAGAATATTATTTATATGGGGGATACAATCTTCCCAGGTCTGCAGATTTTGCTGCGAAGAGGCAGAATCATTAGATCATTTGTTTTGGTACTGTCCATCTGTAGCTTGTTTTTGGACACAGGTCCAGGAATGGCTAAAGGATGCAATATTTACCTGGAGCTAACCCTGCAGATAGCATTACTGGGTGATCTGAAAAGTCATAGTCAATCGATCAATAATATAATAATACTTATAGCAAAAATGTTTATTTTCAATTTACAATCTGTAGAAACAATGAGAATAGAAAGGTTCAGAACTTTTGTAAAACATCACAGTACAGTTTAAAAATATATGGCAAATAGAAATCCAATATGGATGGTGTTAAGAGATAGATGGGTGGTGTTGAATGGAGTTGAAGGATGGGACTAATAACAACTAATAACAACTAATAACAACAAGAGAACTAATAATGTGTCCATAATAAGTCTATAGGTTATAGGTTGAGCGCTTTTGTGAAAGAGCACAGTTAGAAAGATATGGCATATAGAAGCAAACCGGATGGACATCATGAAAATGATCAGAGAGGTAGAGGGTAGAGGAAGTTCAGGAGTAAAAACAAACAAAATATAATTATTGTAAAATTGACTGTGTCCATAAAATGTATATAGTATGTATAAACTGGAAGTAGAGGCCTAAGAATTGTTGTTCACTAGTTTGCTCCAATTAGGGAAGGGGTGGTGGGGTTAGAAAGTAATAAAGGGAAATATATTTTTTAAAAGGATATGTATATGTGTATGTATATATATATATATATATATATATATATATATATATATATATGTATGTGTGTATGTGTATATACAGCTCCGGAAAAAATTAAGAGACCACTGCAAAAATATAAGTTTGTCTGGTTTTACTAATTATAGGTACAGTGAGGGGAAAAAGTATTTGATCCCTTGGTGATTTTGTACGTTTGCCCACTGACAAAGAAATGATCAGTCTATAATTTTAATGGTAGGTTTATTTGAACAGTGAGAGACAGAATAACAACAAAATAATCCAGAAAAACGCATGTCAAAAATGTTATAAATTTATTTGCATTTTAATGAGGGAAATACGTATTTTACCCCCTCTCAATCAGAAAGATTTCTGGCTCCCAGGTGTCTTTTATACAGGTAACGAGCTGAGATTAGGAGCACACTCTTAAAGGGATTGCTCCTAATCTCAGTTTGTTACCTGTATAAAAGACACCTGTCCACAGAAGCAATCAATCAATCAGATTCCAAACTCTCCACATGGCCAAGACCAAAGAGCTCTAAAAGGATGTCAGGGACAAGATTGTAAACCTACACAAGGCTGGAATGGGCTACAAGACCATCGCCAAGCAGCTTGGTGAGAAGGTGACAACAGTTGGTGCGATTATTAAATACACGGGAGGATCTTGTCAATGATCTCAAGGCAGCTGGGACCATAGTCACCAAGAAAACAATTGTTAACACACTACGCCGTGAAGGACTGAAATCCTGCAGCGCCCGCAAGGTCCCCCTGCTCAAGAAAGCACATATACAGGTCCGTCTGAAGTTTGCCAATGAACATCTGAATGATTCAGAGGAGAACTGGGTGAAAGTGTTGAGGTCAGATGAGACCAAAATCGAGCTCTTTGGCATCAACTCAACTCGACGTGTTTGGAGGAGGAGGAATGCTGCCTATGACCCCAAGAACACCATCCCCACCGTCAAACAAGGAGGTGGAAACATTATGCTTTGGGGGTGTTTTCTGCTAAGGGGACAGGACAACTTCACCGCATCAAAGGGACGATGGACGGGGCCATGTACCGTCAAATCTTGGATGAGAACATCCTTCCCTCAGCCAGGGCATTGAAAATGGGTCCTGGATGAGTGTTCCAGCATGACAATGACCCAAAACACATGGCCAAGGCAACAAATGAGTGGCTCAAGAAGAAGCACATTCTACAATCTTCTCCCTGACATTCTTTTAGAGCTATTTGGTCTTGGCCATGGTGGAGAGTTTGGAATCTGATTGCTTCTGTGGACAGGTGTCTTTTATACAGGTAACAAACTGAGATTAGGAGCACTCCCTTTAAGAGTGTGCTCCTAATCTCGGCTCGTTACCTGTATAAAAGACACCTGGGAGCCAGAAATCTTTCTGATTGAGAGGGGGTCAAATACTTATTTCCCTCATTAAAATGCAAATCAATTTATAACATTTTTTACATGCGTTTTTCTGGATTTCTTTGTTGTTATTCTGTCTCTCACTGTTCAAATAAACCTACCATTAAAATTATAGACTGATCATTTCTTTGTCAGTGGGCAAACGTACAAAATCAGCAGGGGATCCAATACTTTTTTCCCTCACTGTGTATATATATATATATATATATATATATACACACACACATACATACATTGTGCTCTACCATAAATTAAGATTAATTTCATGAATTGTTACGATGTAGCCACGATTTTGAGTTTGTGGCTGTGGTATAAAGTGACAACCGTTGAGGGACGAGAACGTAAGACAAACGGTCAAACTCTCCAGCACAGGAGGTGTCGGTAATGCACCATTAATGTTTGACGCCAACCTTCCCCCAAAAACACCTATGAAGAAGAAGAGAATTACCACTGACGTCATTCAGCATCAACTTGGTAACAAGTTGTCACGGAGCGGCCTATTAGTACTTCATGTAGCGGTGGCTATCGTAATAGAATAATTCAAAATATAGTTAAATCATTCACGATGCCTCCGAAGAAACCAGCTCAAGCTGCCGCCGGTAGTAAAAAAACGCAAGAAAAGAAGAAGGAAAAGATAATTGAGGTGAAAGCACTTTTGCGCACGATAGCCAAATGATATTGAATAATGCTAAGCTAGTTTGTGAGCTACAACATGTACCGGTAGCTAGCTACAGTAACGTTCAAAGGTTATTTTGTGAAGCTAGCTAGTAAGTTAGACAGAACGTTAGGCGTTAGATGCTAGCTAGTTTTATCACGTATTATTGAACGCAGAACATTTTCCAAACGTTATATTTGCTAGGTACCAAGCTAACAAACGTTAGCGTTCTTATGCTAACCCCTTTTTAAGAACGTGGTAGCTACTTGGTAGCTAACTTGTGCTTGCATGATGTAGCTAGTTAGCTGCAGACAGTAGCCAACAAAGGTTAACATTTTATTTAGTCGAATTAATGTTAGCTAGGTAGCTAAGTTGTCTGATCGTCTGTCCACGGCTAGAATTAACTGCTTAGTTAGTAGTTGTAACACAGATGAAAGGTTGACTAGTTAGTTATCATAGCTTATCGAAACCTTGTTATTTTGTCGTTCAGAGGTTCATTCTAGGTAGCCTGCCAAGTATGTCCTTGTTAAATTGCTGATATTCAATTTGTTTATCTTTTATGTAGGACAAGACATTTGGTTTGAAGAACAAAAAGGGAGGAAAACAACAGAAATTTATCAAGAATGTCTCTCAGCAAGTCAAGCAAGTTCCTGGTAGTAAGGTAAGATTTACCAGTTAGGCCTACAGACTTGTTGTTTCTCAATTAATTTTCCTAATGACCACTGGCTTGACATTTATACAGAGATGTTTGCCATTAGAGCATCATCAACCTATAGCCATAAAAACCCGACTTTTGTTCATGTCTTCTCTCTGGTCAGAATGTACCCCATTCATAGACTAATTGCTATCTTCTGACCGGGGGAGTTTTGTTTATTAGTTGGGATTTGGTTCAATCGTAATAATTGGAACTGCAAACAGTAATTTTAGGAAAAAATATTAATGTAGCCTTCTGGTTTATGTGGCTTCAAAACTTATTTAGTAGATACTTCCAGTTGATTTTTGGCATCCAATGTTGGGACATTGCAACTCTAGATGCTAGTCAAATCATATTTTATTTGCCACATGCGTCGAATACAAAAGGTGTAGACCTTACAGTGAAACGCTTACAAGCCCTTAACCAACAATGCAGGGGAAAAAAGTGTGTATTAAAAAATTATTAAAGAGCAGCAGTAAAATAAATAAACAGTAGGGAGGCTATATACAGGGGGTACCGGTACAGGGTCAATGTGCGGGGGCACCGGTTAGTCAAGGTAATAAACTCAGCAAAAAAAGAAACGTCAATTTTCCAGGACCCTGTCTTTCAAAGATAATTTGTAAAAATCCAAACAACTTCACAGATCTTCATTGTAAAGGGTTTAAACACTGTTTCCCATGCTTGTTTTAATGAACCATGAACAATTAATGAACATGCACCTGTGGAACTGTCGTCAATACACTAACAGTTTACAGACGGTAGGCAATTAAGGTCACAGTTATTAAAACTTAGGACACTAAAGAGGCCTTTCTACTGACTCTAAAAAACACCAATCATCTGTGTGAACGTGCCTTAGCCATGCTGCAAGGAGGCATGAGGACTGCAGATGTGGCCAGGGCAATAAATTGCAATGTCTGTACTGTGAGACGCCTAAGACAGCACTACAGGGAGACAGGACGGGCAGCTGATCGTCCTCGCAGTGGAGACCACGTGTAAAAACACCTGCATAGGATCGGTACATCCGAACATGACATTTACATTACATTTTTACATTTACGTCATTTAGCAGACGCTCTTATCCAGAGCGACTTACAGGAGCAATTAGGGTTAAGTGCCTTGCTTAAGGGCACATCGACAGATTTTTCACCTAGTCGGCTCGGGGATTAGAACCAGCGACCTTTCGGTTACTGGCACAACGCTCTTACCCACTAAGCTACCTGAGCTACCTACCTAAGCTACCTGCCGCCCATGACACCTGCGGGACAGGTACAGGATGGCAACAACAACCGCCCGAGTTACACCAGGAACGCACAATCCCTCCATCAGTGCTCAGACTGTCAACAATACATTGACATTTACATTTCTGTAATTTAGCAGACGCTCTTATCCAGAGCGACTTACAAATTGGTGCATTCACCTTATGATAGCCAGTGGGACAACCACTTTACTATATATATATATATATATATACACACACACACACACAGTGGGGAGAACAAGTATTTGATACACTGCCGATTTTGCAGGTTTTCCTACTTACAAAGCATGTAGAGGTCTGTCATTTTTTATCATAGGTACACTTCAACTGTGAGAGACGGAATCTAAACAAAAATCCAGAAAATCACATTATGATTTTTAAGTAATTAATTTGCATTTTATTGCATGACATAAGTATTTGATCACCTACCAACCAGTAAGAATTCCGGCTCTCACAGACCTGTTAGTTTTTCTTTAAGAAGCCCTCCTGTTCTCCACTCATTACCTGTATTAACTGCATCTGTTTGAACTCGTTACCTGTATAAAAGACACCTGTCCACACACTCAAACAGACTCCAACCTCTCCACAATGGCCAAGACCAGAGAGCTGTGTAACGACATCAGGGATAAAATTGTAGACCTGCACAAGGCTGGGATGGGCTACAGGACAATAGGCAAACAGCTTGGTGAGAAGGCAACAACTGTTGGCGCAATTATTAGAAAATGGAAGAAGTTCAAGATGACGGTCAATCACCCTCGGTCTGGGGCTCCATGCAAGATCTCACCTCGTGGGGCATCAATTATCATGAGGAAGGTGAGGGATCAGCCCAGAACTACACGGCAGGACCTGGTCAATGACCTGAAGAGAGCTGGGACCACAGTCTCAAAGAAAACTATTAGTAACACACTACGCCGTCATGGATTAAAATCCTGCAGCGCACGCAAGGTCCCCCTGCTCAAGCCAGCGCATGTCCAGGCCTGTCTGAAGTTTGCCAATGACCATCTGGATGATCCAGAGGAGGAATGAGAGAAGGTCATGTGGTCTGATGAGACAGAAATAGAGCTTTTTGGTCTAAAGAGGAAGAATGATGAGTACAACCCCAAGAACACCATCCCAACCGTGAAGCATGGAGGTGGAAACATCATTCTTTGGGGATGATTTTCTGCAAAGGGGACAGGACGACTGGACCGTATTGAGGGGAGGATGGATGGGGCCATGTATCGCGAGATCTTGGCCAACAACCTCCTTCCCTCAGTAAGAGCATTGAAGATGGGTCGTGGCTGGGTCTTCCAGCATGACAACGACCCGAAACACACAGCCAGGGCAACTAAGGAGTGGCTCCGTAAGAAGCATCTCAAGGTCCTGGAGTGGCCTAGCCAGTCTCCAGACCTGAACACAATCGAAAATCTTTGGAGGGAGCAGAAAGTCCGTATTGCCCAGCGACAGCCCCGAAACCTGAAGGATCTGGAGAAGGTCTGTATGGAGGAGTGGCCCAAAATCCCTGCTGCAGTGTGTGCAAACCTGGTCAAGACCTACAGGAAACGTATGATCTCTGAAATTGCAAACAAAGGTTTCTGTACCAAATATTAAGTTCTGCTTTTCTGATGTATCAAATACTTATGTCATGCAATAAAATGCAAATTAATTACTTAAATCATACAATGTGATTTTCTGGATTTTTGTTTTACATTCCGTCTCTCACAGTTGAAGTGTACCTATGATAAAAATTACAGACCTCTACATGCTTTGTAAGTAGGAAAACCTGCAAAATCGTCAGTGTATCAAATACTTGTTCTCCCCACTGTGTGTGTGTGTATATATATATATATATATATATATAATGACTGAGAGAGGTTGGACTGAGGGCTTTTAGGCCTGTTGTAAGGCAGGTCCTCACCAGACATCACCGGCAACAACGTATGTCTCTTTACCAGACAGGACTGGCAAAAAGTGCTCTTCTCTGACGAGTCGCGGTTTTGTCTCACCAGGGGTGATGGTCGGATTGGCGTTTATCATCAAAGGAATGAGCATTACACAGAGGCCTGTACTCTGGACGGCATTGATTTGGAGGTGGAGGGTCCGTCATGGTCTGGAGCGGTGTGTCAAAGCATCATCAGACTGAGCTTGTTGTCATTGCAGGCAATCTCAACGTTGTGCGTTACAGGGAAGACATCCTCCTCCCTCATGTGGTACCCTTCCTGCAGGCTCATCCTGACATGACCCTCCAGCATGACAATGCCACCAGCCATACTGCTCGTTCTGTGCATGATTTCCTGCAATACAGGAATGTCAGTGTTCTGCCATGGCCAGCGAAGAGCCCTGAACTTAATCCCATTGAGCATGTCTGGGACCTGTTGGATCGGAGGGTGAGGGCTAGGGCCATTCCCCCCCAGAAATGTCTGGGAACTTGCAGGTGCCTTGGTGGAAGAGTGGGGTAACATCTCACAGCAAGAACTGGCAAATCTGGTGCAGTCCGTGAGGAGGAGATGCACTGCAGTACTTAATGCAGCTGGTGGCCACACCAGATACTGACTGTTACTATTTACACATGTTACGTTTGCTGAAAATAAACGCAGTTGACAGTGAGGACGTTTCTTTTTTTGCTGAGTTTATGTACAATTTACATTTTAGTCATTTAGCAGATGCTCTTATCCAGAGCGACTTACAGTTATTGAGTGCATACGTTTTCATACTGGTCCCCCGTGGGAATCGAACCCACAACCCTGGCGTTGCAAACGCCATGCTCTACCAACTGAGATACACGGGACATATGGGTAGAGTTAAAGTGACTATGCATAGATAATAAACAGAGTAAAACGGGGTGAGGTGGGGGGACAATGCAGATAGTCCGGGTTATCCATGATTAGCTGTTCAGGAGTCTTATGGCTTGGGGGTAAAAGGTGTTAAGAAGCCTTTTGGACCTAGACTTGGCGTTCCGGTACCGCTTGCCGTGCGGTAGCAGAGAGAACAGTCCATGACTAGGGTGACTGGAGTCTTTGACAATTTTTAGGGCCTTCCTCTGACACCGCCTGGTATAGAGGTCCTGGATGGCAGGAAGCTTGGCCCAAGTGATGTACTGGGCCGTACGCACTACCCTCTGTAGTGCCTTGCGGTCAGAGGCCGAGCAGTTGCCATACCAGGCGGTAAGCAACCAGTCAGGATGCTCTCGATGGTGCAGCTGTATAACTTTTTGAGGATGTGAGGACCCATTCCAAATCTTTTCAGTCTCCTGAGGGGGAATAGGCTTTGTTGTGCCCTCATCACGACTGTCTTGGTGTGTTTGGACCATGAAAGTTTGATGTGGACACCACGGACATTGAAGCTCTCAACCTGTTCCACTACAGCACCGTCGATAAGAATGGGGTCGTGCTCAGCCTGCAAAGTAAATACTTCTAAGACAGCTAAGATAAATGACTAAACTAGAAAAGGTTAATTTCCTGAATTTGTGGGCTTGCTTCAGCTGAATCAAAATGTGTAACCTACCATAGCCATTTGATCTTTTTTAATAGAATGAGATCATTATTTCAAAAGGCATAAAATGTATGCACACGATGCATGCATACTAACTGAGCTCATGCAGGTGTTTACATGGTTTTGCGCATGTGCCAGATGATCGGAATTTCAACAGCAGGACAAGCATTTTAAAATGTTGGTTTGATAATACTTTCCTGTGGATATTTTGTCAATTTCCACTGGCATAGGACCAACCAAGTGGACAATTGGCAGAGTAAGTCCAAATGACAGTTAATTCAACAAACTGGCTACTCAAGGCAAAACAAGGCACCTTCTGGAAAATTTAAATGGATATAAAGCCAACCTAATCTCAGCAAGCTATAGCTTTCTATTAGGTCAGGAGGCCGGCAAACCTGATTCCTGTTGTGGACTTATGACTAACTTGATCATGTTTTCCTAGGTTGGTGCGGAAGGGGACAAGAACAAAAAGGGTGACAAGAAGAAAGAGTTAGATGAGCTGAACGAGCTTTTCAAGCCAGTGGTGGCTGCTCAGAAAGTCGCTAAAGGTGAGGATGGAAATGTCTTCAGCTTGTCGTCTATATTCCGCTGCAAAGTTTCCTCTGGTACATAGATTATATTAAACAGAGCATTTTTCAGACAAAAGGACATTTTGCAACCTTACCCTATCGAATGCTTAACAAACTCATATCGTGAGGCTTAATCACTGATTAGGCCGTTGTGGTCTACCCGCTACTAGTGTTTGTCAAGAATTAGAACATGGTAAAGGTGCAAAAAGGTATTACGATATAAACTGAGCATTTTCAGACAATCTTTGTGCACCAGGCAAGCTACAGTGTTTATCCTCAATCTATAAAAGCCATCAGGTGTGCGTGGAGTTGCATAATAATGATATGCCATTTAGCAGACGCTTTTATCCAAAGCGACTTACAGTCATGCGTGCATACATTTTTTGTGTATGGGTGGTCCCGGGGATCGAACCCACTACCTTGGCGTTACAAGCGCCGTGCGGTTATGTGTCGGAGATACTATAAGAGATGTTCAATGTTTTTCTATTTGGAATTTTAACATTATTCATTCCATTAGTAGATAGTTTTATCTGGAGGGTTATATCATAGGTTTCAATTGACACAATTTGCAATGTGAGTTCTAAGGTTATTGCAATGCATGAGTGCTCTGTAAAAGAGCTGTCTCAAATTACAAGATTTACACTAAAATGTAAAAGTATTTGTAACATCTTTAACAAATGTTTGCTGTTATGTTCATAAAGTGCTTACAGATTATATTGCATGTTTCAATGAATGAGTTTGTAAAGACTTATGTTTTTGATGTACATAATTTAAGTAATTACCCAATAGTGTTACCCTGTGTTGGGTTACAATAACAAAAGAGAAGGATATTTTCGGAATGTGTAATTATTCTGTTCATTCCACCTATCTATGGCAACAGTGGCAGGAAAGAGGTAATGAGCGCGAGAAGAAACATTCAGTACTTATTACATTTTCCTCTTAATTCTGCAGGGGTGGACCCAAAGTCAGTTCTCTGTGCCTTCTTCAAGCAAGGCCAATGTACCAAGGGAGACAAGTGCAAGTTCTCCCACGATTTGACACTCGAGAGGAAGTGTGAGAAACGGAGCCTCTATGTTGACAAGAGAGATGATGAGCTTGAGAAAGGTTAGTGTCTTCTAATCATTAGTGTTGTCAGCAGTGAAGAAACAACTGATGTTTTGTAGAGCTCACTATTTATCCTGTTTTGTATAGATACCATGGATAATTGGGATGAGAAGAAGCTGGAGGAGGTAGTGAACCAGAAGCACGGAGAAGCTGAAAAGAAGAAAGCTCAAAGCTCAAAAACTCAAATTGTATGTTTTGGCACATCCATCTAAGAGCTAAGATTCATCAGTACTGCATTCTGAAAGTCTTCAGACCCCTTCCCCTTTTCCACATTTTGTGTTACAGCCTTATTCTAAAATGGATTAAATAAATAAAAATCCTCATCAATACCCCATAATGACAAAGCGGGAAAAAAAAGTATTCAGACCCATTGCTAGGAGACTCGAAATTGAGCTCAGGTGCATCCTGTTTCCATTGATCATCCTTGAGATGTTTCTACAACTTGATTGGAGTCCACCTGTGGTAAATTCAATTGATTGTACATGATTTGGAAAGGCACACACCGGTCTATATAAGGTCCCACAGTTGACAGTGCATGTCAGAGAAAACACAGCCATGAGGTCGAAGGAATTGTCTGTGGAGCGCCAAGACAGGATTGTGTTAAGGCACAGATCTGGGGAAGGGTACCAAAACATTTCTGCAGCATTGAATGTTCCCAAGAACACAGTGGCCTCCATCGTTCTTAAATGGAAGTAAGTTTGGAACCACCAAGACTCTTCCTAGAGCTGGCCGCCCGCCAAACTGAGCAATCGGGTGAGTAGGGACTTGGTTAGGGGAGGTGACCAAGAACCCGATGGTCACTCTGACAGAGCTCTAGAGTTCCTCTGTGGAGATGGGAGAACCTTCCAGAAGGACAACCATCTCTGCAGCACTCCACCAATCAGGCCTTTATGGTAGAGTGGCCAGACGGAGGCCACTCCTCAGTAAAAGGCACATGACAGCCCGCTTGGAGTTTGCCAAAAGGCACCTTAAGACTCTCAGATCATGAGAAACAAGATTATCTGGTCTGATGAAACCTAGATTGAACTCTTTGGCCTGAATGCCAAGTATCACGTCTGGAGGAAACCTGGCACCATCCCTACGGTGAAGCATGGTGTGAGCATCGTGCTGTGGGGGTGTTTTTCAGCGGCATGGACTGGGAGACTAGTCAGGATCGAGGGAAAGATGAATGGAGCAAAGTACAGAGAGATCCTTGATGAAAACCTGCTCCAGAGTGCTCAGGACCTCAGACTGGGGCAAAGGTTCACCTTCCAACAGGACAACGACGCTAAGCACACAGCCAAGACAACGCAGGAGTGGCTTCGGGACAGGTCTCAGAATATCCTTGAGTGGCCCAGCCAGAAGCCGGACTTGAACCCGATCGAACATCTCTGGAGAGACGTGAAAATAGCTGTGCAGCAACGCTCCCCATCCAACCTGACAGAGCTTGAGAGGATCTGCAGAGAATAATGGGAGAAACTCCCCAAATACAGGTGTGCCAAGCTTGTAGCGTCATCCTCGAGGCTGCAATTGCTGCCAAAGATGCTTCAACAAAGTACTGAGTAAAGGGTCTGAACACTTATGTAAATGTATATTTCAGTTTTTTTATTTTCAATCAATTTGCAAAAATTTATAAAAAACAGTTTTTTATTTGTCATTATGGGGTATTGTGAATTGATGAGGGGGAAAACACAATTTAATCCATTTTAACATAACGTGGAAAAAGTCAAGGGGTCTGAATACTTTCCGAATGCACTGTATATTAAGATACATTGGCCATAGACTGACTTCTGCTTTTATCGTCTTGTAGGTTTGCAAGCATTTCCTTGATGCCATTGAAAACAACAAATATGGTTGGTTTTGGGTATGTCCTAGTGGAGCTGACACTTGTATGTACCGCCATGCATTGCCTGCTGGGTTTGTGCTCAAGAAAGACAAGAAAAAGGACGAAAAGGAAGATGAAATCTCAATGGAAGAGTTGATAGAGAATGAGGTAGATTTGACCACTTTTTCACTAAAATTCATGTTTCTACTTGAGATATCTGTCTAGTGTGTTATTTGGCCCATATTATGCTTAAAGCCACAATGGCCACAATGTTTGTTTCAGTCGGCAGCCCACCACTTTATCCACTCTGAAATTCATAAAGAGCTATGGATGCCAGGACTGGCTGTTAATGTTTGAGATCACTCGTTGACCAACATAAAACAAATCCAAAATGTGACTTATTCATAACATAGTGCTGAGATTGAGATCCTGTGAAGTTTCTGTGGGCTGTTGTTATTTAAGAAATGTTACCAAACAATTACTTTGTCTATCAGCGATCTGCCCTCGGACCAAATGTCACCCGAATAACTCTGGAGACCTTCTTGGCCTGGAAAAAGAGGAAAAGGCAAGAGAAAGTGGCGAAGGCAGAGCAAGACATGGAGAAAAAGAAGGCTGATTTCAATGCTGGCAGGTCCTTTGGGGTGAGCTTTGATTTTGTTTTGTCGCCAAACCTCGAAATAGTCATTTATTTTGATTGCAGTATCACATCTTACAGATAAGTGGAAAACATTTTAATACTAACACAAGTTTTTGTTCTGTAGGTTAGCGGCCGTCAAGTATTTGAGTTCTGCCCTGATCTGGCTGATGATGACGATGAGGAGGCTGATGACATAAAATATGTTGAGGACGATGATGATGTTGAAGAGGTAAGCCTGATAAACACATTTTTAAATAGGCATGTATCTCTGGGGATACTCAGGAAATCTTTACTGAAGTAGCTTGAGGAAGTGTGTTGGTGATTTAATTATCATGAAGTGATACTTCTGTATGACATTGTTACTGGTTATCCCTCCCCACAGGTTGAAGATGTTCAGGAGTTCCAGGACATCGATCTAGCCAGGTTTGTTCCAAAGGAAGTTGACAACACCGGAATAACTGTTGCTGCAGTTGACAGATTCACAGCCAAATCGAAGCCAACAAAGGAAATTAATGGTGAGTGTTTGAAATTATTCTCTGTCAATAAAATGAATGGAAGCTACATTATCCTTGATCACCATTTTTTTCCTAAGCATTTATCTTTCTATCCCAATATGTTTTCCATATCATGTCTGTCTTTTAAACCTCTTTCTATCACACAATTGTCCCCCAGCCTTTAAAGGGGCAATCCGGGATTCACTTGTTTCGGTAAACAGCTGGTAAACTCTCAAATTCGTAGACAGACCTAATGATACAACAAGGACTGACCATCCATGAGATCAAAATTATAGATTTAACCATATTTTAACGGGGCAATCTGCAGTTGGTACGTTCACTTTTTGGATTTATAAATGAATGATATGTCCCCATTGACTCTTGAAGAATAATTCTTATAAATGCCTCATAAGCTTAGTTCAACTGTCGTACCCCATCAGAACACAAAATATAAGCTTATCTTACTCCAATGTTTGTAAACAAAGGAAAATGTGGTTAAAACCAGGGTTTATAACTGACATTTTCCAATCGTTTCATTCTGAACAGAAGCACTATTTTTCTCTCGCTTCGTTCCACTGTTCCGACCAGCAAAATAAAGTTCTGAACCAGCTCAAAAAAAAGTTACTGTTTATCGTTCCTTTCTGTTCCTATTTTAACCTGTGAAATCAAGTTGTTTACATTTTAGCTCATTTAAAGTACTTCACCAACCAGTGCGGATTGAACAGGCAAGATAGTTTACATGGGTGATGAACACAAGTGTACCCTATGGCGCAAGATGTGACTGACATTTTACGGGTGGGGAGCGAGTGAAGAGAGGGTTGACGAGCAGGCTTGAAGCACTAGGCATCTTATGACATGCATTATCTGAATTAGGTCCACAGAATTATACCTAGGAGGAGCAGCTTCTATGAAGGAACTTTGAATGTCCTTTTGAGATAGCTAACAAGCTTGTGTGTGCAGAGCGGCACCAGAATTACAAGCATTTCGCTACACCCGCAATAACATCACATTTTATTTGATTAGAAACACGTTCTACCTTTTTGTAGGTAATAAATCCAATGTGAAATGTGATAACAAGGCCTATAGTAATCCTTAAGTAGCATTGAAAAATGTAATCCATTCTCTAGCTAAAACAAAATCTCTCACGATTCTAATGTCAATACAGTAGGCTATACTTTGGAGGGGCAGGGAGCCTGCACACACACTGGCAAATATGTTCAGCTTGTGGGACTAGAAAAAATGGCTGCAACGTAAAATAACGTTATTAACCAATTTCCATGTTTTTAAAATAAAGGTTCTGTTCCGGAACAGTATGGATCACTTTCGTTCCATTTCTGTTCTTTGAAACATTTCTTTATTTCCCGGTTTTCGGTTCTGTTCCCTGAACCGGTTCCAACTCCTGGTTAAAACTATCATTTTGATATCATGGATGGTCAGTCCTTGCATCCATAGCTCTATGAATTTGAGTGGTTACATTTCTCCAGCCGCATCCCATAGCTTTTTACCGAAACAGGGGCATGGAGGACACTTTGTATCACGTGAGGATTTCCCCTTTAAGCTATACAGTGTTTGTTTACAATTACATTGCTTACAAAAAATTGCATAAAATAAGCATATATTTTGGGTTCTGATGGGGTATGACAGTTTAACTAAACTCATGAGGAATTCATAAGTTATATTCTACAGGAATCAATGGCTACATGAAATTATTTTCAAAAGTCCAAAAATTTAAATTCTTATCCCGGATGCTCCTTGCATAAAGATGACTCCCTTACCACGTCACCTACCATTGCAATTTTGTTCATGGGTCACAGCACAGATGCTGCGTGTGTGTGTGTGTGTGTGTGTGTGTATATATAGTGCCTTCGGAAAGTGTTCACAACCCTTGACGTTTTCCACATTTTGTTAGGTTACAGCCTTATTCTAAAATTGATTAAATTGTTTTTTCCCCTCATCTACACACTACCCCATAATGACAAAGCAAAAACTGTTTTTAGAAAGTATTCAGACCCTTTACTCAGTACTTTGTTGAAGCACCTTTGGCAGCTATTGCAGCCTTGAGTCTTCTTGGGTATGATGCTACAAGCTTGGCACACCTGTATTTTGGGAGTTTCTCCCATTCTTCTCTGCAGATCCTCTCAAGCTCTGTCAGGTTGGATGGGGAGCTGCACAGCTATTTTCAGGTCTCTCCTGAGATGTTTGATCGGGTTCATGTCCGGGCTCTGGCTGGGCCACTCAAGGATATTCAGAGACTTGTCCCGAAGCCACTCCAGCGTTGTCTTGGCTGTGTGCTTAGGGTTGTTGTCCTGTTGGAAGGTGAACCTTTGCCCCAGTTGGAGGTCCTGAGTGCTCTGGAGCAGGTTTTCCATCAAGGATCTCTCTGTACTTTGCTCCATTCATCTTTGCCTCGATCCGGACTAGTCTCCCAGTCCCTCCGACTGAAAAACATCCCCACAGCATGATGCTGCCACCACGCTTCACCGTAGGGATGGTGCCAGGTTTCCTCCAGATGTGACACTTGGCATTCAGGCCAAAGAGTTCAATCTTGGTTTCATCAGACCAGAGAATCTTGTTTCTCATGGTCTGAGAGTCTTAAGGTGCCTCTTGGCAAACTCCAAGCGGGCTGTCATGTGCCTTTTACTGAGGAGTGGCTTCCGTCTGGCCACTCTACCATAAAGGCCTGATTGGTGGAGTGATGGAGAGATGGTTGTCCTTCTGGAAGGTTCTCCCATCTCCACAGAGGAACTCTAGAGCTCTTGTCAGAGTGACCATTGGGTTCTTGGTCACCTCCCTGACCAAGGCCCTTCTCCCACGATTGCTCAGTTTGGCCGGGCGGCCAGCTCTAGGAAGAGTTTTGGTGGTTCCATACTAATTCCATTTAAGAATGATGGAGACCACTGTGTTCTTTGGGACCTTCAATGCTGCAGTCATTTTTTGGTACCCTTCCCCAGATCTGTGCCTCGACACAATCCTGTCTCGGCACTCTACGGACAATTCCTTCGACCTCATGGCTTTGTTTTTGCTCTGACATGCACTGTCAACTGTGGGACCTTATATAGACCGGTGTGTGCCTTTCCAAATCATGTCCAATCAATTGAATTTACCACAGGTGGACTCCAATCAAGTTGTGAAACATTTTAAGGATGATCAATGGAAACAGGATGCACCTGAGCTCATTTGAGTCTCGTAGCAAAGGGTCTGAATACTTATGTAAATAAAGTATTTCTGTTTTATTTGTAATACATTTGCAGACATTTCTAAACTTGTTTTCACTTTGTCATTATGGGGTATTGTGTGTAGATTGCTGAGGAGTTTTATTTATTTAATCCATTTTAGAATAAGGCTGTAACGTAACAAAATGTGGAAAAAGTCAAGGGGTCTGAATACTTTCAGCGGCACTATCTGATGCCTTTGACTGAGCATATGTGTTGTTCTGAACCTGTACCTTGCACTCTCTCCCAGATGACCAGCTGAACGGGGCTTGCGGAGGTGTGGAGGAGAACGGACACGACAGGGAAGACGAGACTCTCGATGACAAAGAAGCAGAGCCCGTGCCTGTGGACGAGAACCTTTTCACCGGCGAGGACCTGGACGAACTGGATGAAGAACTCAACACACTGGACCTGGATGACTGACAATGATGACTTCTAATAGAACAGTGCCTCATGGACTATGAAGAAGAGATGACTAAAACAGATTCACAATAAAACATCCTGATGCTCACATCTTGTTGCTGCTGCTGTTTTCTTTCCCTCTCAGTGGTCCTGATTGCTAAGAGAGTGAAAAGGATTTTAGAGGGGTTACATCTTGAACGTGGTTCATGTGAAATCACCCGTTCTTTCTGGCTGTCCTGAATCCTGTCTATTGATGTTTGGTTCTATTGTATAAACATCCTCCTGACTTGTATTATTAGACCATACCATGACAGATTGTGCAACTCCTTTCGAGAATGTACAAGGGGGAGGTAGGGTTCTAGTGTAAAAAAAACGGATTAAATAGCAGATTAAGAGCAATTCCATAGTCATACAATTATTTGACACTTTTGGACTCTGCATATATTGAGTTTTACAGAATAAAGAGCCATGACGTAGAGACCTGGAGGAATACATCCAAAACACCACGCAAAGAGAATGTTCGCTATGTGTCGATATTGATAGGAATGAAAGAAAGGCAAATGTTGCTCTCAGATCAGCATTTCCCATTCAAATCTAACCTTAACATTAGAATTATTCCACAATACTGACAACGGATCAGCTACTAGAAAGAATCTATGGCTGCAAATATTGAGGTGGCTTATTCTAATGCTTACCCTATAATAATGCACTAAATCAAGATTGGGCACATTGCGCATATCATGAAATATATTGAGGCAATTACAGACCGTAGCCTACAATTAGCAAAATATAAATCGGTTGAATGAACATGACATTTATTAAGTATTCAGACCCCTTGACTTTTTCCACATTTTGTTACATTACAGCATTCTAAAATGAATTAAATTGTTTTTTTCCCCCTCGTCAATCTACACACAGTACCCCATAATGACAAAACAAAAACAGGTTTTTAGACATTTTTGCAAATGTATTAAAAATAAACTGATTACATTTCAATAAGTATTCAGACCCTATCCTCAGTACTTTGTTGAAGCAACGATGCAGCCTTGAGTCTTTGGTATGATGCTACAAACATGGCACACCTGTATTTGGGGAGTTTCTCCCATTCTATTCTGCAGATCCTCTCAAGCTCTGTCAGGTTGGATGGGGAGTGTCGCTGCACAGCTACTTTCAGGTTTCTCCAGAGATGTTCGATCAGGTTCAAGTCCGGGCTCTGGCTGGACCAGTCTAGGACATTCTGAGACTTGTCCCGAAGCCACTCCTGCGTTGTCTTGGCTGTGTGCTTAGGGTCGTTGTACTATTGGAAGGTGAACCTTCACCCCAGTCTGAGGTCCTGAGTGCTCTGTACTTTGCTCCGTTCATCTTTAACCCAATCCTGACTAGTCTCCCAGGCCCTGCCCCTGAAAAACATCCCCACAGCATGATGCTGCCACCACTATGCTTCACCGTAGGGATGGTGCCATGTTTCCTCCAGACGGGACGCTTGGCATTCAGGCCAAAGAGTTCAATCTTGGTTTCATCAGACTAGAGAATCTTGTTTCTCATGGTCTGAGAGTCTTTAGGTGCCTTTTGGCAAACTCCAAGCAGGCTTTCATGTGCCTTTTACTGAGGAGTGGCTTCCGTCTGGCCACTACCATAAAGGCCTGATTGGTGGAGTGCTGCAGAGATGGTTGTCCTTCTGCAAGGTTCTACCATTTCCACAGAGGATCTCTGGCGCTCTGCCAGAGTGACCATCAGGTTCTTGGTCACCTCCCTGACTAAGGCCCTTCTCCCCCGATTGCTCAGTTTGGCCAGGCGGCCAGCTCTAGGAAGAGTCTTGGTGGTTCCAAACTTCTTCCATTTAAGAATGATGGAGGCCAATGGGGACCTTCAATGTTGCAGAAGTGTTTTGGTACCCTTCCCCAGATCTGTGCCTCGACACAATCCTGTCTCGGAGCTCTACGGACATTTCCTTCGACCTCATGGTTGGTTTTTGCTCTGATATGCACTGTCAACTATGGGACCTTATATAGACAGGTGTGTGCATTTCCAAATCATGTCCAATCAATTGAATTTACCACAGGTGGACTCCAATCAAGTTGTAAAAACATCTCAAGTGTGAGCAATGGAAACAGGATGCATCTGAGCTCAATTTTGAGTCTCATAGCAAAGGGTCTGAATTGTTATGTAAATAAGGTATTTCTGTTTTTTTTTTATAAATTTGGAAAACATTCTAAAAACCTGTTCGCTTTGCCATTATCGGGTATTGTGTGTCGATTGAGGATTATTATTTAAATCCATTTTAGAATAAGGCTGTAACGTAACAAAATGTGGAATAAGACAACGGGTCTGAATACTTTCCGAATGCACTGTATGTAGCCTAAAGGCTGCTGTAGGCTATTTTAATGCAGTCATCACGGTTTTCACTTGAAGCATCTTTTAGAATCCTTCGCTTGTTTGTAACAATTGCAAAGACATTGGCAACTTTGTATTTGTAGTCAACTTCAATGTGAAGTTAAGAAACATCTTGATTTTATGTTTAGCAGAGATCTTCTGTGTAGGGAAAAAACTCCTCAAACGATGCACTTAGCGGTTCTATGAGTGGTCTGAGGCAGTCGGTAAATAACGAACGTTTTCAAGTGCAACTTTAGTAATGATGGTTTTGGGAAACAGCTCGGAGATTTAACGATGCTCCTACGAAGGTTCTATCGCTGAACTTAGCCTGAAGATTTTGCAACCAACAACCCATATTCAAGTTTAGTTTTCTAAATGAATCAGAGAATGTAAGATTTGATTGCTTTGATCCTGCTTTCTGGAACACCCCACTGTTGAGCCCAGTTTATATACCTGGTTCTAAGATGCATCCTTTGTCCTGATCTTGTCCACATTCTGATTGTGCCCACATTTTTAGACCTGTGTAGACGATTAAAAGACTTGGTGATCTGATTGTGATCTTCCTGACCACCTCTAGCGGTGCCTGGATATGTTTAGACGGATTTGAACAGTGAAACCATTTAAATCACCATTATCCGCCCTCAAAAATCATTGACATGTGACTGCAATTAACGGAAGGCATAAATGTGTCTTAAAATAAAAACATATTTTGACAGAATCTGTGAAACAATTAGCAAACAGGGAGGGACCAAGATATCTGTCCACTGTCTGCATTGTGACCAGATAAGACACATGTTACTACCATGTGTAGATGCAACGGCTACAATGTGGGCAACATCAGAATGTGGATAAGATCAGGACAAAGGATGCATGTTATCACCTGGAATGAACAAGGCTAGTGTACATTAAAGCACCTTGTCACATGGTTTGAGAGCATAAAAAAAACGTAGCTATGGGATACAAAATAACTTTAAGGCTGAAAGAGGAACGGTGCATTAATTATGTTAGAATTGGTAATGGTGTTTAGCTCATTCTTCAAGGCAGGCTAGCAAACACTAAAATGTAATTGATTTTAGATGCTGTAGTTTTCACCACGTCTTCCCTCAAGCCGTGGTTGCACACATTTAACATGTGGTTGTGACAAAATTCCCTGGTCCCTCCCTGTATGCAAATTCAACCAACCCTTATGGACCTACCGTTATGACACAAGCTATATAAATCGACAGAAAACCGCACCCTGTTATAGTCAAATGTAGTACTCATCATTACAGCCTATTTTTGTTATCCAATGATTTAAGACTGGGTGGAATACTGTCCCGATAACCTCGACCTGCCCACAGCCATACAAAATAAATATTTAGAGGATCTCTCCCATCCCTAAATAAAGTCCCCACACAAATTAGCTATCTGGATGTGTGTACAAAATACAATTAATGCACAGGATAAAGATAAAGAATTTTGTGTTGTGAGAAAATAAATAAAACATTTCGGATTTCAATCTCCACCACCCTTTGTAGCGCTTTTTGACCATCCTCCCCGATTCAGAATACAGTGGGGGAAAAAAGTATTTAGTCAGCCACCAATTGTGCAAGTTCTCCCACTTAAAAAGATGAGAGGCCTGTAATTTTCATCATAGGTACACGTCAACTATGACAGACAAATTGAGGAGAAAAAATCCAGAAAATCACATTGTAGGATTTTCTATGAATTTATTTGCAAATTATGGTGGAAAATAAGTATTTGGTCAATAACAAAAGTTTCTCAATACTTTGTTATATACCCTTTGTTGGCAATGACACAGGTCAAACGGTTTCTGTAAGTCTTCACAAGGTTTTCACACACTGTTGCTGGTATTTTGGCCCATTCCTCCATGCAGATCTCCTCTAGAGCAGTGATGTTTTGGGGCTGTCGCTGGGCAACACAGACTTTCAAATCCCTCCAAAGATTTTCTATGGGGTTGAGATATGGAGACTGGCTAGGCCACTCCAGGACCTTGAAATGCTTCTTACGAAGCCACTCCTTCGTTGCCCGGGCGGTGTGTTTGGGATCATTGTCATGCTGAAAGACCCAGCCACGTTTCATCTTCAATGCCCTTGCTGATGGAAGGAGGTTTTCACTCAAAATCTCACAATACATGGCGCCATTCATTCTTTCCTTTACACGGATCAGTCGTCCTGGTCCCTTTGCAGAAAAACAGCCCCAAAGCATGATGTTTCCACCCCCATGCTTCACAGTAGGTATGGTGTTCTTTGGATGCAACTCAGCATTCTTTGTCCTCCAAACAAGACGAGTTGAGTTTTTACCAAAAAGTTCTATTTTGGTTTCATCTGACCATATGACATTCTTCCAATCCTCTTCTGGATCATCCAAATGCACTCTAGCAAACTTCAGACGGGCCTGGACATGTACTGGCTTAAGCAGGGGGACACGTCTGGCACTGCAGGATTTGAGTCCCTGGCGGCGTAGTGTGTTACTGATGGTAGGCTTTGTTACTTTGGTCCCAGCTCTCTGCAGGTTCATTCACTAGGTCCCCCCGTGTGGTTCTGGGATTTTTGCTCACCGTTCTTGTGATCATTTTGACCCCACGGGGTGAGATCTTGCGTGGAGCCCCAGATTGAGGGAGATTATCAGTGGTCTTGTATGTCTTCCATTTCCTAATAATTGCTCCCACAGTTGATTTCTTCAAACCAAGCTGCTTACCTATTGCAGATTCAGTCTTCCCAGCCTGGTGCAGGTCTACAATTTTGTTTCTGGTGTCCTTTGACAGCTCTTTGGTCTTGGCCATAGTGGAGTTTGGAGTGTGACTGTTTGAGGTTGTGGACAGGTGTCTTTTATACTGATAACAAGTTCAAACAGGTGCCATTAATACAGGTAACGAGTGGAGGACAGAGGAGCCTCTTAAAGAAGAAGTTACTGGTCTGTGAGAGCCAGAAATCTTGCTTGTTTGTAGGTGACCAAATACTTATTTTCCACCATAATTTGCAAATAAATTCATTAAAAATCCTACAATGTGATTTTATGGAAAAAGAATTCTCAATTTGTCTGTCATAGTTGACGTGTACCTATAATGAAAATTACAGGCCTCTCTCATCTTTTTAAGTGGGAGAACTTGCACAATTGGTGGCTGACTAAATACTTTTTTCCCCCACTGTAGCTAGTAATGGCATAGTCTCAGCACTGTCTGGTAACAATCCACAAACCCAACAATCTGGTCAGGTTTGGATACAGGTTCAGGTCAGCGGGGTCAT